TCTAAGCATGAGAAAATTCAGAAGCCAATGAAAATAACTGACAGATCTTAACAAAAATTAAGACTTCAAAAAGTTAAAAGACAGACTGGGAAAAAATGTCTACAATATATTTAAACAGGCAAAAGTTTACTATCCATTACCTGTAGAGAGTTCCAAATTATTAATAAGAGAAAGTCAGCTCAATATTTATCCTGTTATATATAAAGGACCCGAACAGGCCAATGAACATTTAACAACAAATTTGCTAACAGTCAGAATGGTGAAAATCTACCTATCTTAAATTTTATTTATCAATAACGCAAAAAAAAAAAAAAGAAAAGAAAACACCTCTATTGAAGGGAAATGTAAATTTTTGAAGGGCACTTGGCAGTAGAAGAGAATGAGATCAGAAGAGTATCTGTGATCTAGGAATCAAACCTCTATGGATTTATCTTACAAGTGTTTAAATAACCAGTCAAAAGGATGGTTACAAAAATGTTCATTGCAAACCTATGTGTAACTCTGTGTTGACTCAAACATGTCTATGACATACTGTTAATTTTTTTCAAAGTTACAAAATAAACACATTGAGATCTCATTTTTCCAAAAATGTGGCCATTGGTTTCTATATGTCGATATTTTAAAAGTCTAGAAGGACATAATCCAGAAAAAAATTTTTGGTAAAATCTCTGTGAAGTAATATCATAGGTAATCTTAATTTTCTTCAAGTTTTCCATATTTTCTTGATTTTGGATGATTAACATGAATTCTTATCATTATGAGTTAAAATAAGCTATTTCACAGAGTCTAATAATACATATCAGGTAATCAAATATTTCCCTGTCCTTAGTTTGTGTGTGGTGGATGGGAAGTGGAGAGTCAGGGGAAGTAAATTCAGAGACTAAAATTCGGTGTTTCTACAGCAATGATCATGTAGGGTGAATGTCCCAGGGCAATCTGGCGGATGGAAGATTTTAGCCCAATCCCAAACTTCCACATGGGTTTTTTCTTTGTTTTTCTTTTCACTCCAGTTCCTACAATGAACTGATTCTCTCATGACTTGCTAATCTCACAAGAGAGAGAAAAAAATGTTCAGATAGCTCAGGCTCTGGGTAGTTGGGCCCCAGTTAAAGGAAGTTAAAGGGAAGGAAAAAAAGGTCAAAGAAAGAAACCTTAGTTACCTTCTCAGCACAGCTCTCAGAACATAAATGACATGGTCATTCTAATTCTGAGAAATACCCAGAAAAAAGACTGTAGGGGCTTTTCATTTTCCTGTAGAGCCACCCGTAAAAGATGAGCACGTTACAACTTTCAGGAATTTCCCTAAAGACAACTGTGCCACCAAGTTCCTATAAAATCATCTCTCATCACCACTTTGCTGCCTCAGGCCAGCAGGAAATCAGAATTAGGACTTGACATCTTAAAAGTGCTCGTTCTGAACAAGCCATACCTCCTATGAAAACATATCCTGAAGCATCAGCTCCCTGAATCAGAGAGGAAAGTAAAGCAAAACTCCATTTCTAAGCAATACAGGATTCCAAAGGCAGTTAAAGCTGGAGAAGATGACTGGAATTATGGCATTCCTTACATTTTGCTTTCTCTAACATTTTCAGTAAGTGCTCAATTTCAATAAGTGCTCAATTTTTCAATAATACTGATGACTCTCCCTAAGGAAAAGTAAAATTAAAAGAAGGTATAAAGCCTATGGACCAAGGGCCAAATGTAGCCAGTAGACTGCTTTTGTAAACAAAGTTTTATTGGAACATAAAAAAAGTTATAAAATTATAACTAAAGTTATAATTAATCATTTTTCCTCAAACCATTGGATGAGTTTACCTTATCTTTGGACAAGCCCACCTCATTGCCAGTTGGGGAACCCCTCGATGCACACTCTCTCTAGCAATTCCCTCTAGTTGCTATAGGTGACAGGATTTTTTTAAAGCTCACCCCTTAAATTGTGGGTCTTCTGGAATTATACCAAGGACAATTTTCCAGAATCTTTACCCTCACTAGTCACCAATTCTTGCCTGACAGGATTTTTTAAGCTGAAACCACTAGATGTATTCAAGGGGAGATAACAAAATACAACCTTCAAAGGAGAAAAAAGGAAGCAGTCCCACCAACTGAGGGGAAAGAAATATCTATGGGCAACATACCCTGAAAGCTCTCTCCTCACACCAGGGAAGAGAAAATGGGGTCCAAGCTCAAAACAGAGTAGAAAGCTCAGCTAGGGTTAGGCTGAGGAAAGTGGGAAGGAAAAACCCCAGTAGATTGCCAAAGCAACCAAATATGTAAACAGACCAAAACATGGCTTTACACACTTGATACTGAAAAGAATATTGCAGTTTGATTAAAAAAAAATGAGGTCTAGAAATAAGATTACTTTTCTCTATGAAGCCCAGAACACATGATGTAAGAGCTCACTGAAGGGTGATCTCATTCCTGGGAACTGACAGGTGGGGCTTGGACTCCAGGCCTCAGCTAGAGAGAACAGCCCAGCCTCAGACATTTAATTTTCATAGCCAAAAAGGCTTTCTTTGGCTACTATTTTGGCCGCTTTAAAAATTGTAGCCACAGGAAGACACCTGTTTTTTCATTAAGTTTCAAAAAGTGTCTTATTCTGGGTTTCACTTCACTGAGACCTAGCCAAAGTGATTAGCTGCCATATACAATCATCCCTGACTTTCAGTTCTGTATTCTCTGCCATTCTGTACAAAATTTGTCTCCCTACTCTTCCTGCTTGCTTCATTAAGACATTTTATATGCATTATTTTATTGTTAAAAACAACACTTTTTATATGCTCCTCCTTGGGAGAAAAGAACATGGCCCCCTCAAACACTTCATCAGGATTTACCCGTTTTTATGTGCAGGAGACTAAACACAAGTGGCACTATTACGATGGCCTCTGCATGGAAATGGTCAGGAGACGTGTGGGAAATGTGCCTGTTTTTAAGGATCCAAGCCACAGAACCTGCTTTACAGAAGGTTTACTAAAGAAGAAGGGAGAGTTCACAGTAATGGGAGTTTAACTCACCTTAAAGTATTTAGAGGAAGATGAGCTAAAATCTCGAGAATGCTGACTCAACAGGAAGCAGCTACCAGATTCCCCCAAACTTGTGCTGTGTGGTTAGTGCATCACAGAGATGGTGAGCGGGTCCTGAAGTGTGAAGTCCACATCCCACGTCTGGGAGAACCATATAGTTGATTCCCTCAACATGACGTATCAGAATTTGCATCCTAACATCCATAGGCAACCTCTGTGTGATGAAACAAAATCCTGTCTCCCACGGGTACTGTACAACCGGACATATGTATATTTCAAATTAGAATCCATTCAAAACCTACTTTTGTGCACACCCAAGTGTGTTTCCTCTACTCTAAGAATGGTAGCTTCTGAAGATACTCACTGGACACGATAAAACCATTTAAGTCCTGAGGAAAAGTGCTAAGAAAAAACGTAAATTCAAGTTAAAAAAAAAAAAAGTTTATACACACCATACCTACCATAAGCACAAGCCTGTTTATCAGTCCAAGCAAAAGATAGTAAATAAACCCAGGGTCAATTTGCCCCCTACCTTTTAGGACAGTGATTTTAGGGCTATGGTAGATGGAAGCCGTGTATAACTTCTACCCCTCTGCTCTATTAAAAATAAACACTTAGCATTAAGAGAGATGCTTTATAAATTACACGATACCCAGTCATTTTGATGTGACATTCACAGGTATCCAGTTGTCCAAAAAAGCTGCACCATAGTTTTGTCTTCTAATTCAAAATTGGTCTGTCAAAAGTCTAAAAAACATATACCACAGTTGCTTGGAATTAGTTAAATACTTATCTGGACAGTGACGAGAGATCAAATAAATCCTCTTGAATTCTGGCTTTCCTTGCTAGCGTTAAGTTCATTTGTATTTAATATCGAGAGCGCTATGCAGGAAAGTCTCCACGCTATTTTAAGAAAGTTTAACCACCCACCACTGTATTTGTTTTGCGAGCTTTAAGAGGGGAGCGAAGGCCTGTTTGTACGCACTACCCGCCCCCGGCTCAGCTGCACGGCTGGGTGGTTGGAGCTTTGACCAAGAAGTTGGGGTCCACTGGCAGCGCCACCGGGCTGAACTGTACGCCTTTTCATAAAGGCACAGGAATTGGGGTTAAACACGCTATCACCCTCCCACCTGAGGAAAAGGTCTGTTTGTTCCGGAAGGCAAAGCCCAGCCTGATTTAACTAACTGCAAACAGTTACTATAAGCAAGGCAGCAAGAAAGCTCTAGTCTAGAACAGGAAAGCCATCCACTTGAGGAGAGTTTCTCCAGAGTCCAATACCCAGAAAGACACAGCTCAGGCGCCTCATCTGACAGTTAACCTGAAATCGCCTGGTCTTTCCTCTGCTTCCTGGCCTGGGGAAAAGGACGGGGCTGCCGGGCCAGGCCTGCGCCTTCAAAACTTTCCACGGCTCTCGGGATTCGGAGCAGGAGAAACCGTTCACCGCACGCGTTTCAGCCTTGCCGGGAACGCCTCCCCTGAAGTCGGATCCCTCCTAGGCGGGCCCCCCTCCTCTTAGCGCCTCTCGCTTACCCTTCCTACCAGCCGCCAGGGTCGCGCAGACCCCGGCCCTCTGGCAGGCGCGGGGAGTGATGGGGGCGGCTGGCCCCCCTCGGCCGGTGTCTGCGGCGGGCTGCCGGGCGGGTCGGTGAGCGCCGGCGGGGAAGGGGCTCGTGGCCAGGCGTTTCCGCCCCGCCCCAAGTCCCCACCTCCCCCAGTCGCCTCCCGCCCGGGCTGAGGAGCCTGCGGAGAGCGTCTCAACTTGGTGCCCTGGGGCACTTTTTCCTCGAGTCAGCGAGCTGGCCTCTCTGAGCCCCGGGAGGCGGGTGGAAGGCGGCTGGCGGTGGGAGATAGAGCAGAGGTGCGCGCGTCAGGAGACCCGTGGAGGAAAGCAGCCCGGGGAGGGGGTGGCGGTGGGCGCCCGAGGAACGGCCGTGGGATGGAGGGGGGCCCCACGGCGATCGCCCCTGGGCTACTGACCTGCACTGAGGCCCCCGGGAGGGGCCTGAGGCTCTGCTCCACACCTGCAGGTCCAGCGCCTCCACGCCAAGAGCCATGGTGCTGCCCGGAGCGACGGGGGAAGGATGCCTCCTGGGTGGCGGCCGGGCGGTAGGGCCGGGTAGATGCACTTTCAAAAGGGGCCCACGCGGTGGAACACTGGGCTGCCGGTGCGCCCTCCACACCGCCCCCGGGCGGCTGGGCTGTGCACTCCCTGCCCTGCGGGGCTCCTGACTACATTCTTTCCTTGATTTCGGCATTCTTTTCTTGTTTCCTACAGCCATTCCTTTGCCCATTTTAAAAGTCATTTGTATTTTGATGCGTTCAAGACACAGGCCATATTCACTGAATGCCAAGCCCAGGGCTGAGTACTGTGGGCACAGAGATAAGAAAGACCAGATCCTTTCCCTCCAGGACTTCACGTTAAATGAAAAGTTCATTCATTTTGACGTGTTTTTATTCTGAAGTGCTCGATCACAAAACTCTGTGACAAGGGTCATGCTTCGGAGATGTTAAAAGTGCTACGGGCGCACAAGGAAAAGAGAAACGAATCGCTGTTACCTCGCGCGGGGCCTCCTACGCGGGGAGTGAGTGTCCACGTGGCCGGGGCGGGCACAGAGGGACGGCGCAGACCTGCAAGACCCGAGCCTTGGGACTCTAAGCCCACGTGCTGGTCTGCAGCCACTGCTGCTCTTCCCTCCCGGAGCTTCAAAGGAAGACGCCTGTCGGAAACGGGACACGAATCTTAGAGATGAGGGTCGCGGTCACTTACCCAAATGCCACTTTCAGCTGTGGGTGATGTTGACTTGGAAGTTCCGACGAGCCAGTAGCCTCTTTTCCAGGGAAGCCTATTCCTATTGGTGGCAGCAGCAGCAGCAAAGTCCGCGAGTTCCAGGCTGTTTGAATCAGCAAATGTTTCAAAGGTCTCTGGGTTTAACAAGGGCAAAGAATATTCTTCCAGGTAATTATTTTAATATGCATCTCCAGGTAGAAGCAGTTGGAAATACATAAGGTATATGAAAGCATATACATAACTGACCCCCCTGTCCACTGAAAGACAAACACACGACTCAAAAGTTGTGAGTTAAGTTTTATTCAAGGACCTTACTGAGGACTATAACCCTGCAAACAGTCCATCAGATAGCTCTGAGTAGCTGATGCCAGGTAAGGGAGGAGCCAGGATATGCCTGAATTTTTTTGCTGTGGGAAAAAACAAAACAAAAACATGTCCTGGAACGTCCAAAGATTACTGCTAATCACAAAGAACAGACATCTCAAGTTAATGATTTTAGTGCTTTTCTATGTATGAAAAGAATCTGGGGTCACTGAAATTTTCCCTTAGATATGCATCTTAACTATCTAAGTGTATACAAAGCCCAGAATGCTCCCTATTTTTCTCCATCCTGAATTCCCCTCAGGGGGCACTGTCCATGGGCAACTGTAGTGGCTAATGGCTTGATCCTTGTAAAACTGAAATGGCAGGCAACATTTTTTTCTTTTCCTTTTATAAGATTTATTTGTTTTAATTAATTTGTTTATTTTGGCTGTGCTGGGTCTTCATTGCCACATGCATGATCTTTTTAGTTGCGGCACGTGGACTTCTTAGTTGCATGCATGCGGGATCTAGTTCCCCGACCAACAATCAAACCCTGGCTCCCTGCATTGGGAGCGTGGAGTCTTACCCGCTGGACCACCTGTGAAGTCCCAACATATTCTTTTCTTTACACCCCCTTTTGAAAGTCACTTCCAGTAGGCTATGAGGCAAATGCCTTATTTTAGAGTCCGTTTCATCAGAGATGCCCACTGGGTACAGACAGGCTTGGAAGTTCCTATTTGTGTAGTCACAGTCCCTGCAGGTGGGTGCAACAGTGGCATGGCTCCTTTTTAGAAGAAAAGGAGAGGAAATGTTACAGCACTGTTCTTGTGGGAAGGATGTGGACTCGTGTAAAGAGGCAAACTGTGACTTCATTGGAGAGTGTTGGAGGAAGTATAAGAAATATTTTATTTATACATGTAGTATATATAGATACTATATATATTATATATAGTATCTATATAAACAATTTTTAGGCTAAAGAATTTTTAAGCCTTTTTAATTTAAAGAAAAGCCACTATAAAGGGACAACCCTTAACTTCAAAATACTAGGACTCCACTAGGGACCACAGTCCCTTTAGAAGGGGATTGTAAACTGGGATAACATCTTTTTGTATCAGCAAACTTCTCGTTATAAGTGTTTTTTAAAGGCAGGGCAATTCTACTGAATAACTTACCAGTGAGTAGTTAAAAGGAAAATCCATTGTCAACGTTGCATTTATTAAGAACATCTACCATGTACAAGGGCCCTGTGCTTCAAAGGGGCCAGAAGAAACCCTGAGCCCCACTAGGTACCAAGGTTGATTTATATGTTACCTCACTGAATGCTCAGTGTTTTGTGTACTGTCATCTCCCTATCAAAATGAGGACATGGGTTCAGAGAGGTTTAAGTTACTTCCCTGAGGTCACCCATAGAATATGTAGTAGGTCCTAGATTTTTATTCAGTCTTTCAGTCTCCTAAACCTTTATTCTCAACCACACCACTACACTACTAAGACATGACTAACCACTGCTACACTTCAGTAGCTCTCCTAATTTGGAGCAGTTTCTGTAAACAGTTTCACATCTGTAATAATCTACAACTAGTTTCACAAAGTAGAGAAGAGATACGTGTACATAAATAACTGTAATTGGTGATGCATATATTATTGATAGACATAAAAGTATCATTTAAAAAATAAACCGTAGGTAAGTTCTTATAAAACACTATAGAGGGAGAAATAGTTGTAAAAGGCAGGCATAAATAACTGTAATTGGTGATGCATATATTATTGATAGACATAAAAGTATCATTTAAAAAATAAACCGGGGCTTCCCTGGTGGCGCAGTGCTTGAGAGTCCGCCTGCCGATGCAGGAGACGCGGGTTCGTGCCCCGTTTCGGGAAGATCCCACATGCCGCGGAGCGGCTGGGCCCGTGAGCCATGGCCACTGAGCCTGCGCGTCCGGAGCCTGTGCTCCGCAAATGGGAGAGGCCACAACAGTGAGAGGCCCGCATAACGCAAGAAAAAAATAAAAAAATAAAAAAAATAAACCGTAGGTAAGTTCTTATAAAACACTATAGAGGGAGAAATAGTTGTAAAAGGCAGCTCCAAGTATCTCAGATTTGAATGTGCACATGAAACACCAGGGGATGGTATTGAAACGGACTCTGATTCAGTGGGTCTGGAATGGGACTTGAGGACTTGCATTTCTAACTAGAAGATGTTGCCGGTACTGCTGGGCCACTCACCACTCTTTAAATAGCAAGGCTCTAGGAAAGATTTCACCTGCATGTTTGAGGGACCTGGGGATGGCGAAGAGGGGAGGAGTATGAGACTTAAGGACAGTTGAAGTCAGATCGTTGAAAGTTGTGAATATCACACATACTAAGATATGAATTACAGTTTCTAGGCACCAAATCTAACAATTTTAAATTAGTAGATTAATTCACAATAGGTATTATGTTTTTCACTTTCAAAAAATCATTTGTTTATGGCAAAGATCCTGGCTCATTTCTCACTGGGCGGTAATAGTCATTGTTTTGTGCTGTGCTATGTTCCTTTCAAATGTCTATGTTCTGTTCTGTATATGACAGTACAACGAGTTCTGTACCCTGATTCACATTTATAATGACCAATAACCAAATAACAGAAGAATCTTTTGCTCAATAATGTACTCTAACATGGAAGTTTAAACTTACAAACGTTTTTCTTGAATTTCTCTAACAGGTTGCCTTCATATAAAACCTTCACTGATTTACAATGTTAAAGGGGATTTTTTAAAGCAGTCTAGAAAACATGAGACAGGCTAATAGTAAAAATGCAACAATTTTCTTGGACAGGCATACAAGAACAATATTCACAGTGAAGTTTATGTGGAGGAAAAAATGCTACCCTTTTCTGTGAGACTGAATGTGCCTAGGAGGGGCACAGCACATCATGCACTTTTCACAAGGCTGTGCGAGTACTAATAAAACAATCCTTGTGGGATCGAATATGCATTTGGTATGCAGTTTAATTTTCATAGGTGTATAGAATACTCCTTCAACTTTGTCCTTTAACACTAAAAGAAAAGAGAAAACTTGTACTAAAAAACCTGATCTTCTCCAGAACTAAAAGCAGTATCAAATAACAGTTGTCCTTCATAGCCAAATACAAGGCTGTTAGCTGGTGATGGTTTTTTCTTTCTTATTCTTTCCTTTAAGAGATTTTAAAATGCAATGATTACTGGATATGCAGCAATCATCCTCTCTCTCAAGGACAGCCCCTGAGAATGGTCCAGGCCAGGGTTGATGAGTTGTCTGAGGTCAGATCAGGCATTGTTTCCGCTGATGACACAGTCAGCACAGTCAGAATAACTGGAAGCAAGAGTAGAGAAAGGTATATGGAAAACACATTCTAAAGCTATGGCAAAAATAAAGAGGACAAGAATCCAACAGTTTCCCTCATCAAAGTTAGGTTTTAAAAAAACAATAAGCCTAAAGCTGCAAAGACATTAAATATTGCTTTAAAATATAAACACAGTTCTTGATGAATTACAGCCAGCAATTTGCTCAAAATAATAGTCTTCAAACATACTACATCTGATCTTAAAATATCCATTTTGTCTCCCAACTCAGCTACACATTATAGTTCCCTCCAGGGCATAGATTAGCCTAATAGCTACTTTTTACAACAGCAGAATATAGATACTGCAGGGTCTTCTTCTAATCTGTACTTTCCAGAATTGGGCAGATCTTTGCACTCTGATATAAATATACGAAGTTCAGTCTCAGGGAAGCCATCTTGTTGGTAATGCTATACAGAAGAATAAAAAAAAAAAAGTTTTCATTAATAAGTCCCTTGAAAACAGCTTTATTTCAAATTCAAAGTGGATCATTTGGCTACAGAGGTGGGGATTTTTCTAAAGGGATAGTTTACTTGCTTCCAGGTATTTTCATGGGGATGTAGCCTCTAGAGCCAGTCTTAGATTTGGCTAAGGAAAA